ATGAAATTGCAGATATTTGTGGACTTACAAAAGAACAGAAAAAGGGTGTGAAATACTAATATATTAAACGGAAGAGAAAAAAACATGAAAAAACAAACAATCTTATAATAGATAAAGCATCTAAATAAAGATAAAGTTACATATTTTTGTGGAAGTTGATGCAACATTCAAGAATGACTAACAATGATTGATACTATCAAAGAGTCAGTAGTGAAAAGGCATTTTCACACCAAAGCTGTCAAGGGAGGTGGGTTCTTGGAGGGAGGACTCAGTCGCGGAATGAGGGAAACAAGGTTTATTGTACAAAAACAGGGTGAATGTCCAGACAAAGTACAAAGCAAAGCTGTGGAAAACTGTGGGCAAAGTATCAAAGCAAAGCAAACAAGATTGTGGCAAAGTAACAAAATAACGATTAACAAAACTGTGGCAAAACTGTGGCTATGACTGTGGCAGAACTATGACAAAAGACAAAAGCAAACCTGGCGTGGGGGTGACGACGGACAAAAGACGAAAGACGAAAGACGAAAACGCACTCGCGCCAGACAAGGGGAAACAGGACTATTTCAACACAAGAGGGAGGGAACCCCAGGTGTACACAATGGGTAATCATGACATGACGAGACACCAGACGTGACAAAAGCAGAGAGTCCTCAAAACCTCCAAAATCACTCTAGTAGTGGTCAGGAGGGTGTGAAATAGCGACCCGGGTATTTTGCCGAAACTGACAGTGCTCTGGGGGATCTTATTGAGGGAAAACAGAGACATTCATTCCTGGAGAGTATAATGAGCGTGGTCCAGGAGAGGCTCCTTCTTGAGGTTTTAAGTGTCACAGTCCAATCTTTCAGCCCTCAGTAAGTTCCTCTGATCCTGCCTTTCCTCATTCAGCCTGTCAGCCACACCCACCTCATCAGTCACTCTACTCACCTGTGCACACAGCTGCCTTTCAACTCATGCATCAAGTCCAGTGTACAGTCATGGCCAAAAGTATTGAGAATGACACAA